TTTATGTTTTATCTTTTATCTTTTTATTTATTTATTTTGTTGTTATTGCATTTGTGTATAGTATTTTATGTTTTATCTTTTAGCTTTTTATTCATTTTTATTTTTTTATTCTTGCTACTGCTGTGCTGCTACATATATTACTGTTGTTATCGTTTTGTCTTTTCCTGCATGTTGCTGCTGCATAAAATAATGTGCATTATCCAGTGTCTTTCAAACGAATGCTCTTTTGACTAGAGTCACCATATCAGTAACAGAATTAAAAAGTTCACGAAAAAGAAAGGAAAGGAAAGGAAAATATTATGTATTGTGAGCGAATATCGAAAGATAATACATGTACTATGTATTGGGAGCGAATATTGAAAGAGAATACATGTACTATGTATTGGGAGCGAATATTGAAGGAGTGAGCTGTGTATTGTAAGTGGGGTTTTTGGGAGGTCCCACTGGCCAATAGAAACTCGGACACACTGGTGTCAAGTTACGCACAAGACAGAATCAGTGATTTGCGAATTGGCCACACATGTGGCAGTGTCTTCTAGTGTCTCTGGTGTCTTCTAGCGGCCACAGATAGCGCTCAATTGGTCACTTTAAAGGACGAGCGGGCTAACTCAGATATCGGGGGTTTCCAGCAATCTTGAACTACTCCAGAAGTGGGCATTGCCCTGCCTATAGGAGAAGTTTGGTTTCATTGGTGTGTATATTTGTTTGGTTATTGAGAAAACTCTCCTTGTCTTTTAAAGAAACTGAACAAGCTGCAAAAACTTTACCTTCGATTTTCTGAAAATAGCATTTTTCGGGATAGCCCCCTTGTGCTTCTAAAAGCGACCAATTATCCCAAGCGCCAGAGAGGAACAAACAGCTTCCGCCTACCGCTTGACGGCCAGGCTACAAGTCCAAATGGCGGAACCCAGGGGCAGGTAATCGGCTTGTCGGTCACTCTGACTCGCAGACGACAAAAGGCGAGAAGGGGGCGGGGCTATACAGGTGGGGAGTGAAGACGGGCAAAGGCTAAATTAGGGATAGATTAGGCCAGCGGTTGACAGAGAGCCACCCCCGTGTGCACGGGCATTTAGAGTGCCGTTTTGTTCCTGGGGGTTCAAGTTTTTCAATAGCCGGTAATTGAAGAAGAAAATATTAGGAGATTGATTCTGAAGGAGGAAGCTGGAGTCAGTTGTCGAGTTGAAAAGGCGGGGGTGTGAGAAGAGTGTTTTAGAAGAGTGACACGATCGAGTTTCCCCGTAGAGTTATTATTTTGTTGTTGTTGGTGGTCGTGGTGGTGGTGGTGGTGGTGTTTAGTCTGTTGTCTCTCCCGGTGGGTGGTTCGTGCCCGCAGTTGTTGCGAGATGTTGATATTGTAGTTATTTTTGAAACGCTAGTTGTTGTTGTTGTTGTTGTTGTCGTTGTTGTTTGCTCGTGATTGAGGGTAGTTTGAATTAATTCTGTCTTTATTTTCTGCTGTCTTTATTTTGCTTTCTTTGGGTTTGGCTTTTTGTTCATTTTTTTCCCTCCTAGATTAGAACTCATGAGGTGTTCAAACAAATGAATGTACGGGACTATCAGATCGTCTTCCCTTTAGACGTATTTTCAGTAAACAGAGATTGCTCGAAATTAATTAGCCACTAAAAGAAACTGTGAATTCTATTTCCTTTCGATTTCCCTGTCTTCGGATTAACCTTGTTCTGTTCAAGCGAACGCCACAGTATTTCATCAAAGTCTTAAGCTACATGCAAGTTAAACTTGTACACTTGACAATCGTACAATAGAATCTAGTCGAGACATCTCTATAGGACGAATCCAAACTAATGTGAATAGACGGCCATGACCAATACTAGCAGAATTGATTACCACAATTTTGTATTTGTTTACCTACTCAGTTGATTAGTAAATGTAGGCTTATTTGATGTCGCTGTTTACTTTTATTTTAAGATTAACGTTCGACCACGAATGAGTCACACAACGTACTATAATATACGCACCAGTGGCAGCGCCGTCTAACCACCCATGGAATGAGAGAAGGAAAAGTGGTCATGGAGGAAGAAATGAAGAAAGAGGGGAGAGGGAGAGAAGAAAGAGAAAGAGACGGAGAGAAAGAGATAGGGAGAAAGAGAGAGAGAGAGAGAGGGGGGAGACAGAGAGAGGAGAGAGAGAGAGAGAAAAAGAGAGAGAGAGAGAGAGCGAGAGAG